ATATATAAAAAAAAACAGTGGAGAGTTGTAGAAAAAAAAAATTCATTAATAAAAAAAAATGACAAGCGAAGGTATCGTAAAACAAAACAAAACAACAACAAAAAAAACACACAATCAATAAAACAGAAGCCGAATTGACAGATTGAGGTTAGATTTTCGGATTTCCGTGATTGCGATTCGCCAATTGAATCGATGACGTTTGCATAAAGAAAGAAGAAAAAGACAATAAAAGAAGTAATAAATAATAATGAAAATGAAAAATCGCACGATCATAAAAAGAAACCGCGCGGTTAATCGTTTGATTTATTATTTGTTGTTCGTTAAATCGAGTCGCAATAAAAATGAGTAAATGTGTGTAAGAGAGTCTTTTTTTTTTAAATTAATGATACCTCATAAATAACGAGCGTATCCGTCCTGATAACGTTTATTTCGGAGGTTTTCATACATACAACAAAAAAAAAAAGTCAATCAATTAAATAACAAAGGGAGTAAATGTGAGTATTGAAGTGAGCGAGAGAATGTATAGTAATAATGGAAGCGTTTAATGCGTCCGGTTTTAATAAATACGTAATTTAATTTATATATATTATTTTTTTTTTTTTTGTTATTTTCGTTAATCGCAGGAAATCCACCCGCAATATAAATCCTTAAATTTGATAAAGGAACTCTCGCACGTATATATAAAGTGTTGACGACGATCGAGACGTTCATCATTTTCAGTTTAACCGTTCAGTTTGCACAAGTTAATTAATCGATAATTAATCAAAGATGATCGGACTCTTCGTTTTCGCACTCGCCTGCATGCAAGGTAAGCATCAACAATACCAGCAGCATATTCAACCTTAATCTGTCAAATTTGACATTTGTTAGTTGATTTGTCAACGTTGACATTTATTAATCAAATGTGACAGTTCATTCAACGAATCCAATCTTAGTCTGTCAAATTTGACATTTGTTAGTTGATTTGTCAACGTTGACATTTATCAATCAAATGTGACAGTTCATTCAACGAATTCAATCTTAATCTGTCAAATTTGACATTTGTTAGTTGATTTGTCAACGTTGACATTTATTAATCAAATGTGACAGTTCATTCAACGAATTCAATCTTAATCTGTCAAATTTGACATTGATTAGTTAATTTGTCAAAGTTGACATTTATTAATTAAATGTGATAGTTTATTCGAAGAATTCAATCTTAATCTGTCAATTTGACATTGATAAGTTGATTTGTCAAATTTGACAATTATTAGTTAATTTTTCAAAGTTATCATTTTTTAATCAAAAGTGACTATTCATTCGATAAATTCAACCTTATACTGTTAATGTTGACAGTACTGACAGTTGACTTTTCAAAGTTGACATTTATCAATCAAAAGATGACAGTCCATTCGACGAATCCAATCTTAATTTGTAAAATTTTATATTGATTTCAGTTAATTTGTCAAATTTGACATTTATTAATCAAATGTGACAGTTCATTCGTCAATTTCAACCATAATCTGTCAAATTTGATATTTATTAATCGAATCTGACAGTTCAATCGTCAACAATTAAAGTATACAAATTTTATTTCTTAACAGTTTCGTTTAGAACTAAATATTTGATCTATCTTAATTATGTTGTATGAAAATCATGTAATCGATATACATTTTTTTTTAATCTGTCAAAGTTGATATTACTTTTTTAATATGTCAAATTTGACATCTTTTATTGGTTTATTTGACAAATTTAACCTGAAACTGTCAAATTTAATATTGGTTTTTCAAATTCAGCATGTTTTAGTTGATTTATAATAGAAAATGACATCTATTAATCGAATGTGACGTTTATCATTACAATAGACAAATTTTATTACTTGCTAGTTTCGTTTGTAATGTCAATCTTGAAATATATCCTAACCCATAAAATGTATCATCAATTTATTAAATCTGACGTTCAAATATCAAAAGTGACGTTTAATTATCAAATGTCTTAATTCAATCTGTCAAATTTATCATTCATTTATTAGTTGATTTGCCAAATTTGACATTTATTAATACAAATGTGATAGTTCATTCGTCAAATCCAACCATAATCTGTCAAATTTAATATTGATTAGTTAAATTTGACTTGTATTAGATGATTTATCAAATTTGATATTTATTAATCGAATGTAATATACTAAATATTTGATCTATCTTAAATAGGTTGCATTATCATGTAATCGATATACATTTTTTTTTAATCTGTCAAAGTTGATATTACATTTTTAATATGTCAAATTTGACATCTTTTATTAGTTCATTCGACAAATTTAACCTGAAACTGTCAAATTTAATATTGATTTTTCAAATTCAACATTTTTTAGTTGATTTATAAAAAAAATAAATGACATCTATTAATTGAATGTTACGTTTATCATTGCAGTATACAAATTTTATTTCTTGCTAGTTTCGTTTATAATGTCAATCATTGAATATATCCTAACCCATAAAATGAATCATCAATTTATCAAATCTGACGTTCAAATATCAAATGTGACGTTTAATTGTCAAATATCTTAGTTCAATTTGTCAAATATATCATTCATTTATTGTTGATTTGTCAAATTTGACGTTTATTAATCGAATATCAAAAACGTTCAAATATCAAAAGTGACGTTTAATTGTCAAATGTCTTAGTTAAATTTTTCAAATTTATCATTCATTAATCATTAAATTTGTCATTTATAAGTTGATTTGTCAAATTTGACATTTGACATTTATTAGTTGATTTTTCAAATGTGACATTTATTAATCGAATGTAAAGATTATATAAATTATGTAATCTGACGTTTAAGTGTGAAATGTGACAGAGAGAGTTTAAATTTGATTTGAAATTTGTTGCAGCTTCCGCTTTCGACCCGGAAAAGCTAAAGTTCTTCCTGTACACCGTCCAAAATGCTGATTCTCCGGTCGAACTACAGATGGGAGCCACTTACGGATTGGATCTCATCAATCCCGCTAAAGACGTGAAGATCCTGTGCCACGGTTACGTCGATACCGCCAACTCGTTCTGGATCGCGCCCACAAAGACCGCTTACATGTCAAAAGATGACATGACCGTGATCGCAGTGGATTGGAGCAAGTACGCTTCCGGCACTTACAGCAAAGCGTACAAGAGCGCTAAACCCGTCGGCGAAAGCATCGCCGATCTTGTGATGAAGTTGTCCCAGGATTTGGGAATTCCGTTGAGCAAATTCCATCTGATCGGTCATTCATTAGGAGCGCATATTTCCGGCTTTGCCGGAAAGAAAGTGTTGGCGGTGACCGGACAGAAGATCGGTCGTATCTCCGGTCTGGATCCTGCTGGTCCTTCGTTCAACGGGAAAGGACCCGCGGAGAGGTTGTCCACCGATGACGCCGATTTCGTCGACGCGATCCACACCGATTCCGTTCTGGCTGGATACAAGAAGTCCATCGGACACGTCGATTTCTGGCCGAACGGTGGAAGCTCCCAGAACGGTTGCAGCCTTCTCTCCGATTGTTCCCATTGCAGATCGACCATCTACTTCTACGAGAGCATCAACAATCAGAACTTCCCTGCTTACGAATGCGGCTCCATGAGCGATTACAACAAGGGAAAATGCGCCCAGAACAAGAAGGCCATTCTCGGAGATAACTGCGATCCCAACGCTCGCGGTAACTTCTACCTGAAGACCAACAAAAATTCACCGTTCGGAATTCCAGCTTAAGATTTTAACACGATTTTTGTTCTTTATAACACACTCTTTCATATTGAAATGACTTAAGATTAAAGACGCACGAACATTTAACATTTCTTTCTTATGCACTTTCATCTACCTTCACTAGTTTTCGAGATATTACATAAAACATAAATGTCAAAATTGACATTTATTAATCAAAAGTGACAGTTCATTCTACAAACACAACCTCAATCTGTCAAATTTGACACTGATTAGTTGATTTGTCAAATTTGATATTTGTTACTTGATTTGCTACAGACAACATTTATTAATCAAATCTGACGTTTAAATATCAAAAGTGACATTTAATTGTCGAATGTCTTAGTTCAATCTGTCACAGTTGTCATTTATTAGATAATTAGTCAAATCTAATATTTATCAATCATTCTATTATCATTTCAGTATACAAATTTAACACGATTTCTTCTTTTTAACACTCTTTTATATTTAAATAACTTAAGATTAAAGACGCACGAACATTTAACAATTTTTCTTTTATTTAACTTCGAATTGTACAAAAACTACATCCCACACAATTAAATAATTACATTCATATTAAACCGTATTTAATTACTTTTCTCATGCACATTCATACGTTATTCTCCCTACACTAGTTTTCGAGATATAACATAAAACATAAATGTCAAAGTTAACATTTATTAATCAAAAGTGACAGTTCATTCGACGAACATAACCTCAATCAGTCAAATTTGACATACATTAGTTAATTTGTCAAATTTGACATTTGTTACAGACAACATTTATTAATCAAATCTGACATTTACATATCAAAAGTGACATTTAATTGTCATATGTCTTAGTTCAATCTGTCAAATTTGTCTTTTATTACTTAATTTGTTAAATTTGATATTCGTCAATCATTCGATTATCAATTGACTAGACAAATTTAACACGATTTCTTCTTTTTAACACTCTTTCATATTGAAATGACTTAAGATTAAAGATGCACGAACATTTAACATTTTTTCTTTTATTTAACTTCGTATTGTACAAGAACTACATGCCACACAATTATATAATTACATTCATATTAAACCGTATTTAATTACTTTTCTCATGCACATTCATACGTTATTCTCCCTTCACTAGTTTTCGAGATATAACTTAAAACACAAATGTCAAAGTTGACATTTATTAATCAAAAGTGACAGTTCATTCCCCGAACACAACCTCAATCTGTCAAATTTGACATTCATTAGTTAATTTGTCAAATTTGACATTTGTTACTTGATTTGTTACAGACAACATTTATTAATCAAATCTGAAGTTTACATATCAAAAGTGACATTTAATTGTCAAATCTCTTAGTTCAATCTCTCACAGTTGTCATTTATTAGGTAATTTGTCAAATCTAATATTTATCAATCATTCTATTATCATTTCAGTACACATTTCTTCTCTTCAACATTATTTCATGTTAATATTTTTAATACGAACATTTAATCATTTTTTTTGTAAACTTTAACATCGTATTGTGCAATAACTAAACACGATTAAACAATTACACTCTAATTAATCCGCATTTAATTACCTTTCTTATGCATATTTCTACATTATTATATCATTTTCAGTTCTTGAGATATAACATAAAATGTAAATGTCAATGTTAACATTTATTAAACAAAAGTGACAGTTCATTCCACGAACACAACCTCAATCTGCCAAATTTGACATTCATTAGTTAATTTGTCAAATTTGATATTTCTTCTTTTTAACACTCTTTCATATTGAAATAACTTAATATTTTAATACAAACATTTAACCATTTTTTTTTTTGTAAACTTTAACATTGTATTGTGCAAAAACTAAATCCCACATAATCAAACAATTACACTATAATTAATCCACATTTAATTACCTTTATTACGCACATTCTAAATTATTCTGGCATTTTTAGTTCTCGATATATAACATAAAATGTAAAGACGCACTCTTAATTTGTTTTTAACTCACAACTTTGACAGTGTATAATCCAATTAACCACGTCTAGCACAAATATACAATTAGTCACGTTTGAAACCCTATTTATTAAGTTTTCATATGCATATTAAATATTTATTCTACCGCTTTTAGTTATCGAGTAATATTATAAAACGTAAAAGCACTGCATTTTTCAAGTTAAATCTTTGCTTGTTTCAATATTATTAACAAACCATTGAGATCATGGAAATTATTACAATTGTAATTTATTCCTTACAGTTTTAGCTTTAATTAGCGTATAGAATAATTAATCTACTTTGGATAAGTTTTGAGAAAAGCGATGAAACGTAAAGTCACTACACTATATTTCGCTGCCTCAAATTTCACAGTTTCTTTGTAGTCAATAAAATAATTATAATCACATCTGATTTCCCACAGTTTTAGCTTCAATTTAAGTATAAAATATTTAATCTACGTTTATTAATTTTCAAGAAATATTATAAAACGTAAATTTGCATTTTAGATAATCATTTTTGCATTGTTTCTTTGATAACTAAAGACTCATTTGTATCAGCTAAATGATTTTAATCGCATTTTATTCCTTACAGTTTTATCTTTAATTTGCATATAAAATAATTAGTATACATTCTTTAGTTTTCGAGGAATATGCGAAAATGTAACACGAAATTATGTTTTTTCTTAAGTGAATTTACAAGCTATTTCCACAATTACAAAATGCACACGTTAATTCGTTACAATCTTAACTGTAATATGCGCAAACAATGTTTAACTTAAACTTTACAGTTTCCGAGAAATACTTCAAAAGTTTACGTAAGTTTTAATTCCGAATTTATATAAAAATAAAAAAAACAAATTGTAGAGTTGAGTCACCTCCTGATAAACGTAACCATCGAAACCCCAAAAATAAACGCGCGCCCGTCGAAACGTGGAGACAAGAACCAGAAGCGGATTGGCCGTGATTTTGTTTTTTTTTTCTTGGAAAACAAAAGCTATTTTTAACAAACTTCGATCCACCAGAATCGAATCGAAAGAAAGGATTAAACTATCAAAAAAAAATTAAAAATAGGAAGAAATCACTGGAAAGTGAAGATTTGTTACGTTTAAAGCATCAAAGTGCGCGTGGAAAAATAAAACAAAAAGGAAACAAAAAGGAAATTTGTGTGAAGAGCGCGCGCGCGCGCTAAAACCACGAAATCATCGGCGCCTCACTTAACAAAACTGTACACAAAAACGTCGCGCGCGCTCTTCGCAAAACACGCATCGCATCTTCGGGGAAATAGAAGAACACGAAATTTAACACCGAAAAAGAAGGAAAATTAAATATTAACAATTTACGTTCAAATTAGACTTGTTCTTCTTAACTTTCACAAACTTTTCTTCTACTTTTCGTTTCGTTTTTGGAAACACTGGAGACGCCGTGCGTGTGATTATGTGAGAGGATGGGCAATGTACAGCAGTGTTTCGTTCCGCAGAAACTGAAAGACCAGAAGATCGCAGCGGTAAGTGAAATAACACCTGAATGGAGGAGGTGTTGACATAGTAACGAAACAACAACGGAAAAATATAAAACAATTGCCACTTACGTCCATGGCTTTCCCCGTCCATTTCATTACCGTTTTTCTTCTTCTTTTGTTTCTCTCCGTCTTTCTTTCACTCTTACTCTTTCCGTTTCGCCACTTGCGCTTGTCCTAATGCTAATTTAATCATAACGGCTGAATGCTATTTCTGTGCATGATTACATGTAGCAGTAGCTTTTATATATTCGCAAAAATATAAATATAAAACGACACGTAAATGCGAATGTCGAAAATAATTTACGCACGTGCCTCTAGCGCCTACAGACGCGACTCCTGGACACTACACGACTCGACCTTGACTTATACCCTCTTCGCGTTTTATTCTTGACGTTGCTAAGCAACAATCACGAACCTAACCCAACATTTGGAGGGTCTCCATAACCCGAAACGAATTTGACACACAAGACATGTCAAAATGTTAATGTCATTGAGAAACGTCAAAGCAAATCTTTAAATTTAGTAAATTGTCAAATTTTAAAGAGTAACGTTATTTGCGTGATTTCTGGTGATGAGTCATGTAACGCAGTTGATATGTTTATTGATTTATGTTGCTAAGCAACGATCGTAACAAGCGATGATGTAAAATAATATTGTTTACCAGCAAATTTGCATGAGAATTCGACATAAAACAAATTGTATGTTATTAATGTTGCCTACTTTAAACGAGAATTAATAAAATAATAATTAATTGGTAAAATTCTAGAAAATATAAAAGATTATGTAACGATGACAATCGTTTTGTTAGCGTGGGCGTCTTGGATAATAATGATTTGACATGAATTGATGAAATATTTGGTGAAGATCGTCTGCCAAGAAATTTCGTCTCTCTCTCTCTCTCTAACACACGCTAACATTCCTTTATTTATAACTTGGCATATCTGCGTGGAGAAATAAAAAACGAACGTTTTTGTTATGTAAACTTGTCAAAGTTCAATTTGACAGATGATGACATAAGTCAAAAAATAAATAAATTTATAGACTTAAGAAAAAATGAAATGATTGTAGTTAATTTGAATATTATTGGTATAAATCGTGTAAGCGTAGTGGAATAATGAATGAATTGAATCATGTGTATGACGCACGTTTTTGGTATTCTGTACACATAGAAAAAAAAAATAAAGAAATAAACTATAAGTAAATGTCAATGTAACTTGAAGTGAAAAAAATAAATAAAGAAATGAAGAAGGGAATTTTAATAAATTAATGTTGGTAATAAATAAATAAATAAAGACAATTCGAGAATAAGACATAAATAAAACTAAAAATGTATAAATAATGAATTAAAGATTTACAATGAAATATGTGATAATTTGTATATTTATTGTAATGAAGGTAAACTAATTTATAATTGTCAAGTTGTCAAAATTAGAATACATAATCAGCTGATGTTATAAAATGGATGAAGGGTGAATTGACATTGACATGAATGTAACTAAATACGAAAAGGGAATTTTAATTGTTTGATATTGTTAATAGATATAAACAATACAATTTGGGAATATAAATTAGATAACTAATATGAAGAAAAAT